TTTTTAAACTGAAAAATGTTACATTTTAAAAAGTTTTTCATAAAAAATTTTCTGTATATTCTTTCAAACAGAAGTTTGAAAAAAATGTTTGTTTTTACTCCTTTTATAAATGGAAGCTTTATATTCTCAAATATTTTAGTTGAGTGCTTGGAAGGTATCTCTTCCAAACAGTTTTTAAAGCATGGAGGCCTTCAAATGCCATTTAAAAGCCCAAATGGTTTATATTAAATCTACAAATTTAGAGTTCTAACTTTAGAATTTTTTTTAGAAAACTCAAAAGCTTAATTTTTAAACAAACAACATTAACATACATGTTAAGTATAAATTGTTAAAAATGATATGGGATATAAATAACTAACGAAGACATGGATTCATTAGTTATACACATCCTATATCATTTTTCACTTCTCAATTTTGAAATTCACATTTTCAGTTTTTAATTTTGAAATTTAAATATCAACCTTTTCTGTCATATTTTGAACAAACTGATACTGTTCCAATGTCAGTTTATAAAGCAGCTGTTTGGCATTTGGTTGGATCAGCTTCATATTTTTGCTTAAGAACTTTGGCAAATCTTGTAGATTCAGGTGAGAGCCCCTACAGCTTCTCAGCTAAATGTTTCTCAAGGGCTTTGTAGTTTTATCATACAGTAAAAATAAGAAATCTATTGAATTTTGATTAACCTTCTTCCTTGTATGTTAAGTTCACCCCTAAAAATGAACAATGAAAATGTGTTCACCGATTTTTATTTTGGAGGATCCATAATCCTTACAGACACAGTCAATATGCTGAAGTATGGATGGATACTTTCTTGAATCCTTGACATCTCCATTCACAAAGGAATGAAAAGACACAGTCTGACATATGATTCAAACTATACTTGAGACTTGCTTGGCCACAGATGGAGTGCAATTGGTGAGGGTGTCACCAATTCAAACATAGAAAGAAGATAATCAAAACAAGTCCTTGTGTCAAGGATTCCACTGTGTATAGAACAAGCCCCTAATTGAGTGATCATTTCTAGCCTCTAAGTCCCCTTAAAAGAAACCATCATTAGAGTGAACCAGCAATCAACAGAATGGGAAAAAATTTTTGCAATCTAACCATCTGACAAAGGGATAATAACCAGAATTTACAAAGAACTTAAACAAATCTGTAAGAAAAAACAACCCCATCACAAAGGGGGCAAAGGATATGAACAGACACTTTTAAAAAGAAGACATTCATGCAGCCAACAAACATATGACAAAAGCTCATCATCACTGGTCATTAGAGAAATGCAAATCAAAACCACATTCAGATACCACCTCACACTGGTTAGAATGGCTACCATTAAAAAATCAGGAGACAACAGATGCTGGAGAGGATATGGAGAAATAGCAACACTTTTAAACTGTTGGTGGGAATGTAAATTAGTGCAACCACTGTGGAAGACAGTGTGGTGATTCCTCAAGGATCTAGAACTAGAAATACCATTTGACCCAGCAATCCCATTACCGGGTATATATCCAAAGGATTATAAAACATTCTATTATTAAGACACATGCACAATATGTTTATTGTGGCACTCTTCACAATACCAAAGACTTGGAACCAACCCAAATGCCCATCAGTGATAGACTGAATCAAGAAAATGTGGCACATATACACCATGGAATACTATGCAGTCATAAAGGATGACTTCATGTCCTTTGCAGGGACGTGGATGAAGCTGGAAACCATCATTCTCAGCAAATTGACACAAGAACAGAAAACCAACACATGTTCTCACTCATAAGTGGGTGTTGAACAATGAGAACATATGAACACAGGGAGGGGAACATTACACATCAGGGCCTGTCAGGAATTGAGGGGCTAGGAGAGGGATAGCAGGGGGTGGAAGCATTGGGAAAGGAAAAAATTAGGAGAAATACTTAATGTAGATGACGAGGGGAGTGGATGCAGCAAACCACCATGGCACATGTATACCTATATAACAAACCTGCGTGATCTGCACATGTATCCTGGAACTTAAAGTATAATAAAAAAAAAATTAAATAATAAAAAATAAATTTAAATTAAAAAAGATGGCAAACCAGGGCTGGCAGATGCACAGCTCTGGAGAATTTGGAAACTTTGCATCAGTTATTGTGCAAACGTGATCCTAATTCCTAGCCAACATCACAAAACAGAAACAGCTATAAACAGCTATATCTCATTTCACATGGTAAGATCCACTCAACATTTTGCATTTGTATTTAATCTTAACCAGCATATTGATCTTTGCTTATCTAAAACTGTGTGTAGCATATCTGGTTGCGAAAACAGGGTGGCATGATTCCAGACCTGAGTTAAACAAATGACAGACAGCCTACTGGTAGCCTACATTAAGGTTTTAAAGGGCCTCTTACCTTGGAGACTGGCATCAGGAGATACAGCAGAGTGAATCCTGTCTTGTTATCATGATGGTAGATGCAATCACTTTGAGTCAATACCAAAACATACTTGCTGATCCATTTAAACACAAATGTAAACATAAAATCAGCACACTTTCTATACCCTTCCTTTTCTGTTTTACATAGCCGATCTCTTTCCAAGTCATATATAGATTTACCACCTTTTACAAAGTTTGCTAGATTCTCACTTATTTGTGATATCTAAAAATCAAAACAATTGTACTCATGGACATAAAGAGTAGAAAGATGGTTTCCAGAGGTGGCGAAGGGTAGTGGGATGCTGGAGATGGCTAATGGGTACAAAAATAAAATAGAATGAACACCTACTATCAGATAGCATAACACAGTGATTATATATAGTAATAACTTAACTGTACGTTTTAAGATGACTAAGAATGTAATTGGATTACTTGTAATACAAAGGATAAATGCTTGAGGTGATGGATACCCATTCTTCATGATGTGATTATTTCACATTTCATGCTTGTATCAAAACATCTCATGTACCCCATAAATATATAAACCTACTATGTGCCCACAAAAATCAAAAAAATTTTTTTTAATGTTTGCTAGAGGCTGGGTGCAGTGGCTCATGCCTGTAATCCCATTACTTTGAGAGGCCACGGTGGGCAGATGACCTGAAGTTTGGAGTTTGAGGCCAGCCTGACCAACATGAAGAAACCCCATCTCTACTAAAAATACAAAATTAGCCAGGCATGGTGGCACACGCCTGTAATCCCATCTACTCAGGAAATCTCCACTCCCACCTCTCCAACATTCTTCACTTTACTCTTCTAAGATTCCTAATGTCCAAGAAGGACACCACAATTAAATTGATTATTTGGCTCCCCTAAGACTAAGGTAGAATGCCTTATTAAGACCTGGTTTTCACCTTAAATTTTATATGGAACCAAAAAAGAGCCCACATAGCCAAGAGAATCCTAAGCAAAACAAAACAAAACAAAACAAACAAACAAAAAAACAGACCTGGAGGTATCATGCTACCTGACTTCAAACTATACTACAAGGCTACAGTAATCAAAACAGCATGGTACTGGTACCAAAACAGACATATCAACCAATGGAACAGAACAGAGGCCTCAGAAATAATGCCACACATCTACAACCATCTGCTCTTTAATAAACCTGACAAAAACAGCCAATGGGGAAAGGATTCCCTATTTAATAAATGGTGTTGGGAAAACTGACTAGCCATATGCAGAAAGCTGAAACTGGATCCATTCCTTACACCTTATACAAAAATTAACTCAAGTTGGATTAAAGATTTAAATGTAAAACCTACAACCATAACAACCCTGGAAGAAAACATAGGCAATATCATTCATGACATAGACATAGGCAAGGACTTTATGACTAAAACACCAAAAGCAAGGGAAACAAAAGCCAAAATAGACACATGGGATCTAATTAAACTAAAGAGCTTCTGCGCAGCAAAAGAAGCTATCATGAGAGTGAACAGGCAACCTACAGAATGGGAGAAAATTTTTGCAATCTGCTCATCTGATAAAGGGCTAATATCCAGAATCTACAAAGATCTTTTAAACAAATTTAGAAGAAAAAAACAAATCACCCTATCAAAAAGGGGGCAAAGGATCTGAACAGACACTTCTCTAAAGGAGACATTTATGCAGCCAACAAACATATGATAAAAAGCTCATCATCATTGATCATTAGAAAAATGCAAATCAAAACCACAATGAGATACCACCTCATGCCAGTTAGAATGGCGATGATTAAAAAGTCAGGAGACAACAGATGCCGGAGAGGATGTGGAGAAATAGGAATGCTTTTACATTGTTGGTGGGAGCATAAAGTAGATCAACCATTATGGAACACAGTGTGGTGATTCCTCAAGGATCTAGAACTAGAAATACCATTTGATCTAGCAATCCCATTACTGGGTATACACCCAAAGGATTATAAATCATTCTATTATAAAGACATATGCACACGTATGTTTATTGCGACACCATTCACAATAGCAAAGACTTTGAACCAACCCAAATGTCCATCAGTGATAGACTAGATCAAGAAAATGTGACGCATATACACCATGGAATACTATGCTGCCATAAAAAGATGAGTTCATGTCTTTTGCAGGGACATGGATGAAGCTGGAAACCATCATTCTCAGCAAACTAACAAAAGAACAGAAAACCAAACGCAGCATGTTCTCACTCATAAGTGGGTGTTGAACAATGAGAACACATGGGCACAGGGAGGGGAACATCACACACAGAGGCCTGTTTGGGGGTGGGAGGCTAGGGGAAGGCTAGCATTAGGAGAAATACCTAATGTAGATGATGGGGTGATGGATGCAGCAAACCGCCATGGCACGTATATAACTATGTGATAAGCCTGCACGCTCTGCACATGTACCCCAGAACTTAAAGTATAATTCAAAAAAGGAAGGGAGGAAGGGAGGGAGGGAGGGAAGGAAGGAAGGAGGAAAGAAAGGAAAGGAGGAAGGAAAGAAAGGAGGGAGGGAGAGAAGGAGGGAGGGAGGGAGGGAAAGAGAGAGAGAGAGAGAGACCGACCGACCGACCGACCTGGTTTTGACATCATGTAAGAGCAATATCTGGGAGGTGGGTGCTGCCTAAGTGTTGCGGCAGTGTTATAAAGTTGAGTGCCAGCAATGTATTTGGAAGGTGAGCCCAGGGAATACTGGTAAGAGAGTGGGGAAAGAAGATTGAGAAGTAAAGGAAGACAATAAAAATGTACTTTTAAGCATGTTGATACTGTGGGCAACTGGGGCTCAATCCCAGATAAGAAACTTGGTGAGACACTGTAGGACAGGTTTCAGAGTCATTCCCTCTGAGAGGTGAGGAGCCTGGAGAAGTTATTCATCAGCTCCCCAGGTATCATTGATTTATGGCTGTTTTCAGGGGCATTAACTCTCTGACACTCCTTCCCTGCCCTGCTTTGTGCCTGGGCCTGTCCTCAAAGCCAGATAAAAGCTCTCAGAGAGGTAGTTTTCTAGGCAAGTACCAACTTCTGCTTCAATGGTCATCCATGCCTATATTTTAAAAATGTGTTGGCTGGTAAATTGTTTCCATTTAAGAAAATTTAAGATGGGTTTATATCACTTTTAACCAAATGAATTCTTACTGACATATACAGCAGACATATTACTTACCTATATATAATATAAATAGTGATATATGGTCACTACACATCACTATAAACTTATTGTGGGAAATAACAAGGTAAACAAGATGCAATGCCTATGTTAACAGTAATGATTAACATGATTAATACTAGTTACTGCTTATTAATAATTCTTCTTTGAATTTAGTGATCACCTGCTATATAACAGACCCTATGCTAATAATTTACATGGTTCCCAAACCAGTTACATTTATTACGCCCCTAATTTGAGCCAGAATTTCTAATTGGATTGTTTTGTTTAATCATCATAACCTGTGAGTTAGTTATTGTTATCCTTTTTCTGTTCTCTCTGCAAAGGAAACCAAAGCGTATACAGATTAAGAACTTGCAAGGTCACAAGTAAGTGGCAGAGCTGTGATTCAAACCATCACCACTAGAGATGACAACTGAAGCGGAGAAAAATTAAGCGGTTTGCTCAAGATCACATAACCAGAGATTTTAAGTCATAGGGATGAAGTTGTGGGGTATTGACTACTGGAGAAATATTGGTAGGCAAAATAATACACTCCCCACACCTCACAATGATGTTCTCCTCTCCTCCTTCCCTTCCCATCAACCTCTTCCTCCTCCCTTCCCCCTTTCTGGTCTCTCCTCTCTCCTTTCCTTTCTCCCCTCCTCGTCTCTCCTTTCTTTTCTTTTTATGTTTTTCTTTTGAGATGGAGTCTTTCTCCAGTGCCCTGGCTGGAGTGCAGTGGCATGATCTCGGCTCACTGCGACCTCTGCCTCCTGGATTCAAGCAATTCCACCCCCCGCAACTCAGCCTCTTGAGTAGCTGGAATTACAGGTGCACACCACCATGCCTGGCTAATTTTTGTATTTTTAGTAAAGATGGTGTTTGCCATCTTGGCCAGGCTGGTCTCGAACTCCTGACCTCAAGTGATCTGCCCACCTTGGCCTCGCAAAGCACTGGGATTACAGGTGTGAGCCATCATGCCTGGCCAAATATGCTCATATCTAATCCCAGAAACCTGTGGATTTGTTGTGTTACTTGAGAAGGGACAAAGTAAGGTTGCCGATCAGCTGACTTGAGATGGGGGGTGTTACTCTGTATTAGCAGGGTGGATGCAGTGTATACACAAGTTTCCTTATAAGTGAAAGAGGGAGGCAGGAGAGTCAGCTTTTTTGAAGATTTGAAGATGATACCCTGCCAACTCTGCCAACTCTGCAGATAGAGGAAGAGGCATGGGCCAAGGAATACAGATGGCGTCTATAAACTACAAAAGACAAGGAAACATTTTTCTCCAGGGCCTCCTGAAAGAAAATACTTTCTGACACCTTGTCTTTGTATCACTGAGATCATTTTGAATTTATGACTTCCAGAACTGTAATTATAAATTTGGGTTGTTTCAAGACACGAAGGTTGTGATGATTGGTTACAGCACCAATAGGAAACTAATATATTGAAACTATTACAAGAGGTCTGTCTGCAGAATTAGCCACTCTCAAGGTTCCAGAAAGAACTGTGATGTTGAGATGAGATCACTTAGAAGGGTTCTACATCACCACTCAGATGCTGATGGGCTATTGCCTAAACGTACCATGGAGAAGAAGGAAGATACAGGAAAATTTCCAGTTAGAGGCAGGACTGCTTTAAGATGCTCTTCTATCTGGGTGAAAGCCTATCCCAATAAGCTCTGCCCTATTCTTGGGTGAGGACTTTTCTGGGGCTGTTTTTACTCCTAATAATATAAAAAAAATGCTTTTTGACAAATCACTGGATACATCTTATTTTTCATACGCTTTTGGTGAATCTTAGAATTTTATTTTCCTTAGCCATAGAGTACAATAAAAATAAAAATAAATCTCATATATTCTATTAAAACTTAGCTCCTTTGCTTTTGGAAACTAATATTATTCTTTAGTTTAAGCAGACCAGCAAATAATATAATTATTCTACAAATCTGGAAGAAAATACAAATGATCACTTTTCTTGTTTGAACAAGTTGAACTATCTGTGTATAGGGAGATTAAACTTTTCTTTGAAGAAAACATACATAGAAATTGTGTATGTAATCCATCTATACATTGGTGTATTTTAAAGTATTTGCTTTAATTGGCATATTGACTTGAGTAATTACCTATTTGAGGAAGAGTTTTGAATTGTGATGATTTTGTCATTTCCAAAGTATAAGAATCATTTTTAGTTGTAAGTCATACAATAACAAAATTTTCCCGTAGTGCTGATGGCTTATACTCTTGAAAGCTAATTCAGTTTCTGATGGAAGAGGTTGGTAGGGAGTTAGGTTTGATCTGATGGGACAGCTATATAAAAATCATGGATATATCCAAAGAATTTTTCTGAAAATCAAAGCCATTTTTATTTTATTTTAAAGTCCAGGGTACATATACAGGACATGCAGGTTTGTTACATAAATGTGTATGTCATGGTGGTTTGCAGCACCTATCAACCCATCACCTAGGTATTAAGCCTCACATGTATCAGCTATTTTTCCTGATGCTTTCCCCCTACCCTAACCTCCCCAACAGGCCCCAGTGTGTGCTGTTCCCCTTCTGTTTTCATGCGTTCTCATTGTTCAGCTCCCACTTGTAAGTGAGAATATGTTTGGTTTCTGTTCCTGCATTAGTTTTAGAATAATGGCTTCCAGGTTCATCCATGTCTTTGTAAAGCACATAATCTCATTCCTTTTCATGGCTGCATAGTATTCCATGGTGTATATGTGCCACATTTTCCTTGTCCAGACTATCATTCATGGGCATTTGGGTTGGTTCCAGGTCCTTGCTATCGTAAACAGTGCCACTATGAACATACGTGTGCATGTATCTTTATAATAGAATGATTTCTATTCCTTTGAGTATATACCAGTAATGGGATTGCTGGGTCAAATGGTATTTCCAATTCTAAATCTTTGAGGAATTGCCACAGTGTCTTTTACAATGATTGAACTGATTTACATCCACACCAACAGTGTAAAAGTGTTCCTGTTTCTCCACAACCTTACCAGCATCTGCTGTTTCCTTACTTTTTAATAATTGCCATTTTGTCTGGCATGAGATGGCATCTCATTTGATTTTGCTTTGGATTTCTCTGATGATTAGTGATGTCAAGCTTTTATTCGTATGTTTGTTGGTCACATAAATGTCTTCTTTTGAGAAGTATCTGCTCATGTCCTTTGCCCACTTTTTAATGTTTTTTTTTTTTTTTTCATAAGAGATTTTGTTAAATTTGTTTTAGTTTCCTGTAGATTCTGGATATTAGACCGTTGTCCATTGTCAGATGGATAGATTGCAAAAAATTTTTCCCATTCTGTAGATTGTTCACTCTGAGAATAGTTTCTTTTGCTGTGCAGAAGCTCTTTAGTTTAATTAGATCCCATTTGTCAATTTTTGCTTTTGTTGCAATTGCTTTTGGTGATTTCATAATAAAATCTTTGCCCATGCCTATGTTCTGAATGGTATTACCTAGATTTTATTCTAGGGTTTTTATATTTTTGGGTTTTACATTTAAGCCTTTAATTTTCTTGAGTAAATTTTTGTGTAACGTGTAAGGAAGGGGTCCAGTTTCAATTTTCTACATATGGCTAGCCAGTTCTCCCAGCACCATTTGTTAAATAGGGTATCCTTTCCCCAGTGCTTGGTTCTGTCAGCTTTGTCAAGATCAGATGGTTGTAGATGTGCAGTTTTATTTCTGAGTTCTCCGTTCTGTTCCATTGGTGTACATACCTGTTTTTGTTCCAGTGCTATGCTGTTCTGGTTACTGTAGCCTTTGAAAAGCAAGGTAGTTATTTGGCTGCTTTGTCTTAATATTACAGCCAGGTCTCATCAAGAAAATGGGTACATTTTTACTAAGTAAATAAAGTTTTTCTTTGCTCATGGTGATCAGCACAGAGTGGAATGGGAAGTGAGGACTGGAAAAAGAGACTTCAGGATAGACAATCCATCCAAATTCAACTTGATTGGGCAAACTAATTAAAAATACATGTTTTAAATCTACAGTAAACATTTCTCCAGAAATGAGTTGTCTTGGACTCACCTGCTTCTAAAAGTCCAATATAAACAGTAGTACTTGACCACATTCCTCCTCTACTCATAAGTTAACTGTTAATAACATTCCCCAGAAACAGATTTTCCCCACCCCCTGAATTTTCACATTCCAGGCTATTTCAAGTCAGAATGCAATTGAAATTCAAATGTTATTTTGTTATGAATATTTTTAGATTTTTTGTGTATATTTATTAAATCACAAGACTGCTGTTTTCCTTGATGGGCAGACGACTATTTTGTTGTTTACTGTTTGGTTTTTAGTTTTGGGGATAGCGACATTTTAAATTAAAGCAATTTGGCTTCCTGTACCTCTCATTCCACTGCTATTTCATTTTCTAATAGAAATGTTTGTTTTTAAAGCCTCTAAATGCATACTGATGATGGCTTTTGTGAGCTATTACTTGATGGGGGCAAAAATATTTCAAACTTTGGAGACAGACATCTCATGAAGTGCTGAAAAATTTCATTTGAGAGGCCAAAGCACCTTCAATGGCAAACTATCCCTACATAACTGTAGAAGTTGAAATCTTTTTACAGGTAAGGGATGAAGGGGCTTTGTTTTTGGAGTTTTAAATTTGGAGTTTTAATTATCTACACTGCTGTAGATAAAACATTTTATAGATTGGCCTCCTATGTATTTTCCTAAACATATATAAATAATAGCACCAGTTTTTCTTTCATCTGGTCAGAATGAATGAAAGATAAGTCCCAACAGTGGCAGGAGACAGAAAGACAAGAGCAAGCCAATGCAAAGGAGTAAGATAGTTACAGGTGAGGGGAAAATTGCAGACCAGGGCATATCTCTAAAAATATTTTTGAGGGCCAGGAGAGAAGTCTTAATTTTAGTTTAATTTAGTTTTTTTAAATAAATGTTTCAAATGATGCCAATCATTTAAATTTTTTAAAGTAACATGGAACCTTATCTACACGAACCATAGCTCCTTCATCCTGCAAATCCAGACACTGCTTTTATTTTTGAGATCGAACGCAATAACATATGCAGCATCTCTCTTATTTGCCTCTTCCATAACAAATTCTGTACACCTTTTGTCTCTTCCATAACAAATTCTGCGCACCTTTTTCCTTCAGTGGGTGGACTCGGCAGTGGTGTTTCTACCTAGTTTCCCAAGACACTGGGATAAGTGGCAAAGCCAGACTAGCCAGACGCCCCAGGACTCTTGATAAAATGTCCACAGGTCTCTCTGGAATTCAGCTAGAACTTGTCAAAAACAAAAAGTTACCATAGGTCTCTACTAAACTTCAGACAATTCTAGCGTATTTTGATATTAACTAAGAACCATTAGGGTTTACAAAAACATCCAGCATAGTTTAAGGTAGTGGCTGTGAAAGACCCTCAGGAGGTTCCTGGGAAACACCACTTTAGACTGTCGGAGACCTCTGGCACTCCCATGGAATTTTCCTTCTCCTGGGAACATAAGAGTTTAATAACTATTATTTCCAAGAGTGGCATGTTCAGACATATTTTCCCTTACTAAAAATAGGCTGCATGTCCTCAGTTATGGAGGAGAATGTGATTAATGCCTCCAACTTTCCAGGAAAATGATCTCCTTTGCTTGTAATAGCTCAGTTAAAGAATTGGGAGAGGCTTGGATTCCAGGGGCCTACAAAAGGTAAGTTTTGGGACTGGGTATGTCCATGACATGTGGTTTGTGCCCTGAGGAAAGTAACACAGAGATCTGACTCCTGCAGAGCCTAGTGATGCTCCAGAGGCCTGGATGAATGGTGGGCATGCATTTTGTCATCAGCTGCCCTGTCCCAGTGAGCCACTCCAGCTGTGAGCCAGGGCAGTTGAAGGATCCTAGCCTCAGGCAGTTAGGCAGCAGCCAATGGTCCTGTTTAATAGAGAATTAAGGGAGGTGAAACCATTTGACCACTCTCTCTGATGTTCTGTGATTTTTATCTTATAACAGAATTAAAATACCAGCTATCCTAAGGAATGGACATAGCCCTTAATACCTGAATATAGTCAATAAGCCTGTTTTTCTTTTATTCTTAAAACAAATTATTTTCTCTTAACCAAATGTGAATTAAGGCAAACTGCAAATTTATATGAGTTTAGACCTGACTTCAAATGTCCATAAGCTTCTCATTTGTTGAAATGACTTTAACATTGCCAGGCTGTCTAAAATATGATCACAGCACCCAGGGAGATTTTGTGCAAACCTCATAAATGATTGTGAGACTTTGGCATAGCATTCTTCTTTCTTTTTCTTTTTTTGTGATGTTGCATTCTTTTTTCCTTTTTATATCATTGAAAATAAAAATTGAACCCAAGGGCGATGAGCACAGAAGGGATACATTTCTTTACATCATCATTCTGTGTGTGTGTGTGTGTGTTTGTGTGTAATATGTTTTGACAAAAGCAACCCCAAATACACAATTTAGAGAAACCAGACTTTGTTAAATTTTGTGCTGTGCCTGAAGCAGCAAATATCAATATGTGTAAATTAAAATTAGATGCAGTAATAGAAATTGGCTCATCCAACAGTAACAGAAAGGATTATTCAAGCTTCACTATGTGCTAAATAGCAAATTTTTTCATTTTTCTTTTTTCCATAAATAGGTGTTGTGAATGGTTATAGCTGAACCCACAAAAAAAGCCTTTTTAAAATTCAGCAATGTATTATGATCAGTTTTCCATATCATTGAATACACTTTCATACTGCAATTCTTAAAGATTAGAAAGTATTTTATTATTTCATTTTACTCAGTAAATTCCTTGTTATGTTAGACACTTATATTAGTTTCCATTTTTCACTCACAAATAATGCTTCAGTGATATTCCTGCATTCTTCTCACTTTTCTGGTCATTTCCTTAGGAGAAATTTCTGAATGTAAAGTGACTGGATCACACGTTTTTTCTCTCGCATGCTGTGTGTGCTGCTGGGGCTGTATAACAAAATATTACCCACACCTATGCACCAAAAGCACATGTTTCAAGGAGTATTGAGCAGATATTAAATTTGTCTCTTGTCGTCCATCAGGTTACAGGTCAATTGCTCCCAGAACTCTTACTGGTCAGATACTCTGTATTTTCTATGCTTTAATGGGGGTCCCTCAAACTATCATATTCTTGAATTTTGTGAGGAAGGCAGGGTCACCGCCATTTTCAGGACTTTGGAAATACCTTCAGAATATGGGAATGGGAGAGGTAATGTTTACTAAATATTTTTTGTTTTCTTACATATACTTGGGTTCACAACCTTACTTAAAATATGTACACAACACCTAATAAATTCTTGCTAAATACATAATAAAAAGTATATATATATGTATATGTGTAGGTATATCTGTGGCCTTCTCAATATATATTTGGTGTTCTGTTTATTACTCCACTGTATGTATACCTCTCTGGTATCCAAAACACAGGCTTATATGTAAAACATACGTAACAACTGACTTACTGAAACTTCATTACGCAAATACAAATTCTATATTAAAATGGTATGCGTCAAAATATTATGTTAAAATTCTTGCCTATATTTTTGGAACTCCTAGCTGAATAAAAGGGTATTCAGACCAAAATATTATCTATAGTGCTTTATTTTTCTTCTACAGAAAATAGGAATATTATTTCAAAGAACACTTATAGAATATTATAGTATAAATGCAGTTTTGAGACAATTTTATTGATTATCTGAACCATTTTATGAGGTATGAGCAAATCTCACCTCTAGATTTTCTAGGAGAAAGTTATCAACTTGAATTCACTTCTTCTGATCCTAGGTGCTGAGCTTTGTTACTTCACAATGCTCTGTTGACACTGCTAAGGGCAAGAAATTATTTAAGGTGATAGATTATAGGCTGTTTCACTTTCTTTAGTGTATGATTTCTTACACTTTTGTATATGATTAGGAGAGGCTGTTTGGAAATCTTAAAGGAAAGTGTGTGTTTAGTTGGGGCAAAGTGAAGTAAAGAGAAATGACATGGACAGATAGTCCACTCCGGATATTCCAGGTATCCCACAAGGAGATACACCGAGGGGACAAGGCCAGGCAAACGTTTGTGCTTGTTAGTTACCATGAGGCTTTGTGTCCCTGTATTCCTGTGAACCAGGCTGCACTTTGGCAACAATCCCTTGCGCTTACATTATCCAATGTGAGTGGCCAACCGAGACAGGACACTCCTTTCCCTTCCGCTCTGAGCTCATACTCGCTGGCTTAAGCGTGATATTAAAAGATCAGCTTGATGTCCACACAGGCCCGGTCTAAGCAAGCTGCCCCAGGCCTTCTCAGGAAAGAGCATTGCTGGGTCAAAGCGGACTCTGGCTGGTGTTACTTCCTCAATCTAAGGAAGTAAAGTCCAGAGAAATCAGCTCATGGGAGAGCACAGGCATACCTCATTTTATTGCATGTTGCTTTATAGTACTTCACAGATAATAGTGTTTTTTTTTTTTTACAAATTGAAGGTTTGTGGCAACCCATGGAGCAAGTCTCTTGGAAGCATTTTTCCAACAGCATGAGCTCACTATTTCTGTGTCGTATATTGGTAATTCCCACAATATTTCAGGGTTTTTTTATTGTCATTATATTTATCATGGTGATGTGTGATTGGTGATCTTTGATGTCACTATTGTAATGGTTTTGGGGTACCACCACCCATGCCCAAATAAGACAATGACCTTAATTGGTAAATGTGTGTGTGTTCTCACTGTTCTACTGATCATCCATTCTCCCATCTCTCACCCTCTTCTTGGGCCTCTCTATTCTTGAAACACAACAATATGGAAATTAGGCCAATTAATAACCTCAAAAAGACCCCTAAGCATCCAAGTGAAAGGAAGAGGTTCACGTCTATCACTTTAAGTCAAAAGCTAGAAAGGGTTAAGCTTAGTGAGGAAGGCATGTTGAAAGCTGAGAAAGGCTGAAAACTAGGCCTCTTGCACCCAACGGCCAAGTTGTGAATGCAAAGCATAAGTACTTAAAGGAAATGAAAAGCACTAATTCAGTGAATACACAAATGATGAGAAAGTGAAGCAGCTTTATTGCTGATATGGAGACAATTTTAGTGGTCTGGATAGAAGATCCAACCAGCCAGATCATTCCCTTAAGCCTGAGCAAGGCTCTAACTCTTCGATTCTGTGAAGGCTGAAAAAGGTAAGGAAGCTGCAGAAGTCTGATGCTAGCAGAGGTTGCTCCATGAGGTCTGAGGAAAGAAGCTATCTCTATAACATGAGTGCAAGGTGAAGCAGTAAGTGATGATCAACGAGCTGCAGCAAGTTATCCAGAAGATCAAGCTAAGGTCATTGATGAAAGTGGCGACACAAAACAACAGATTTTAATTGCAGGGGGAACAATCTTACGTTGAAAGATGTCATCCAGGACTTTCATAGCAAGAGAGGAGAAGTCAATGCTGGCTTCAAAGCTTCAAAAGACAGGCTAACTCTCTTATTAGAAGCTAATGAAGTTGGTGACTTTAAGTCATCATCAGTGGTGATGTCCCTTTATTTTTTTTTATTGCATCTATTTGATTCTTCTCTCTTTTATTATTTATTAATCTGGCTAGTGGTCTATTTTGTTAATCTTTAAAAAGAATCAGCTCCTGGATTTGATTTTTTTGAAGGGTTTTTTGCGTCTCTCTCTCCTTCAGTTCTGCTCTGATCTTAGTTACTGATTTTTCTATATTGCAAATCACTGGATTCAATTATTAATTTAAGTGGGATTTTATGGAATCTAAGACTATTTAAGAATCATTAAGGTTGTTTACATATAGGAATATTTCATCTGCAAATAGGGATAATTTGACTTCTTTTTCAGTTTAGATACCTTTTATTTCTTTTTCTTTTCTCATTGCTCTTGCTAGGACTTATAGAACTATGTTGAATAGAAGTGGCAAGAGTGAGCATTCTGCCTTGTACTGTATCTTATTGGAAATGCTTTCAGTTTCCCCCTATTGTTATAGTGTTAGCTGTGTGTTTTTCATAGATGACCTTTATTCTGTTGAGGTGTTTTCCTTCTATACCTAAACTGTTGAGAGTTTTTATCAAGAAAAGATGTTAGATTCTGTCAAATGTTTTTTCTGCATCAATTAAAGAGGATCACATATTTTTTATCTTGCATTCTGATAATATGATGTGTTACATTGATTAATTTGCATATGTTAAAACAGGCTTGCACACCAGGGATAAATCCCATTTGGTCATGATGTATAATCTTTTTGATGTATTGTTGGATTAGGTTTGTTAATTTTTTTTTAGCATTTTTGCATCAATATTCATTACAGAAATTAGCCTGTTGTTTTCTTTTCTTGAAATGTCTTTGGCTTTGTATCAAGGTGATACTGGCCTTATAAGATGTGTTTGGAAGTATTATCTCTATTTCTATTCTTTGGAAGAGTTTTAGAAGTATTGGTATTAATTCTTTGGTAGAATTTAACTGTGAAGCTATCTGGTTCTGGGCTTTTATTTTTTGAAAGGCTTTGATTACTTCTTCAATCTTTTGTTTGCTACATTTCTTTCCAGGATTTCTTTTTCTTCCTGACTGAATCTTCCTCATTATTTACAATCTAACAGATTTACAATTGTGGTAGGTTGTTTTTTTCCAGGAATTTATCTGTTTCCTTTAAGTTATCCTATTTGTTGGCATAAAATTTTCATGAGAGTCTCTTATGATCCTTTTTATTTCTGAGGCATCTGCTGTAATTTTCTCACTTTCATTTTTGTATTTGTATCTCTTTCAAATTCTGGTCTTGTTGAGCTCCTGTGTGTTGAGGTGGTTACTCAGGACAAGAAGACAAACTGAAAGTAATGATAAACTTTTTAGTCAGTTTCTATGATAGAGTAAGCAAGAGACAGGATGATAGGTGCTGTCTCCTCAATGTTTCATTTCCCCCTGCGGAACAGTATTGGGTGAGGTTCAGCAGTGTAGACAAGGGGATTGTTTCACTGCCAAGGGGCTGTGAACAAAAGGATCCTCTCATTTTATGGATTCAGGAGGCTGTGGGGAGACAGACGGGTAAGGGCTAGGAGTGGAAGTGTTAAGTCACAGTGAAGAAACATGTCTTAGTCAAGGCCTTGCAGTGAGGAGGTCTTGGCAGAGTTGCCCAAAACGTACCTCAGCTGAGGACCCCCATAAATAAGCCTTCAAATGCAGGCGCCTAGGCTAGACATGAAAATAGGTAAATGAGCATGTTTGGCCCAGGGGTGCCTGAGTCCTTTCCTGCAACCCCCTCCAGAGACTGCAATGCCCTGGCTGTGTACCAAGACTGGTGTGGGAGGACAGCTTCCCCTTATGAGGCCTGCCAGGCAAAGCCTTGTAATTGCCTGTGGTCAGGCTTGAATGGCCACATATAGAACTTTGGCCTGGAGCTAGACTCCTCAGATTAGTCCCACCAGCTCAGCTGAAGTTAAGGGCTCGGTTTTTTTCTCATTATCCCTGTAGCCTCTTCATTTCTGGCAGGCCCTGTCCTCAGCCAGACACCTCTGCATTTGCCCCAGGGGTGAGCTGCCAGAGAGCTCTGCTGACCTATGAAGGGCTCATTCTTCTTGTGAATTCATTCATCAGGGCTTCCTTGTGTCCACGGCTCAATGGCTCTACAGAAAACTAGGGTTTTTAGTTTATCCGCTTTATCTGTGTTATTGGCGCAAGACCCAAGAAGTTTTGCATCCTGAAGTCGCAGTATTAAGTGCCTTACATGCACTGTGTTCTAGGGAGCCACTGGCGGCCTTCCAGTTCCACTCTCCACTATTCTGCCCTCTGCTCTGAGTCTCACATACTGAACGTGGTGGCTGCATCAATAGGCAGACTTGCCCTTTGCGTCTGTTTTGATTTGGTGAATGGGAAATACTGGCAGTAGATCAGATGAAGAGAAGAGAGGGATTTTAGAGCATTGCATTCCTCAGGTTTACCTCTGCTGGGTCATCAAAGGACAGTTGCTTGCTTCTGTTAAAGTACTTGTCAGTGTCCTCTCCCACAACTACAACTCAATATTTTCTCTGGGTTCGGGTATCTATTCTCTTCTTTGCCTTTTCGAGCCTACAGTGGTAATGACTTTTATTTTTCCAATATTGGGGTATTTCATCATTTCTTATGACTACCCTCATTCCAGTCTGTAAATAGTTCCTTTATTAAATGATCCTCAATTACCCCATTTGAATGTGTGATTTTCCATTGTGATTCTGATATATTTTTATTCATTGCAATCACACTTCATGTGCTAAGTATGGTCATCGTCCTCATTTTACTGATGTGGAAAATTGAGAGCTAATAAATTGCCCAAGGTTACCCAGTTAGTAAGTAACAGGACTGTAGTTCAAGCTTAGGTCTATTTAACATAAGAGAGATCACCTTTAGCCTGCTCACTCTAACTGTAATGTACAAGGAACATTTGAGGGTTGTGTTTTAGAGACAGGAAGACAATTACAATGATCTAGGTGAAAAATGAGCACCTTGATATGTCAGTGATGGTGTGAATGGAAATCATGTAATGATTTGAGTGCTTTTATGAAGAATAAAATGACCAGGTGGTCAACTTGAGTAGATATGTAAAAGTTGGCCACCCACTCTTTTTTATTCTTCATAAAAGCACTCAAATCATTTTATATATAATGTGTATATATACACACATATACAGAAAACTTGACGGGAGAGGTTGGGTGACTTGTGTGAAGAAATGTAAGAAGTCAAGGGTGACGTCAGGTTGTCAGCTTACTACCACCTTATTTACACTTGGTTCTCCTGTAAATAGTAATAATAACAATGGCTGATGATATTGCTCCAAAAGAGGAGCCAAAAGGGGCTTCAGAATGAGCACTTTTAATTGGTTTACAGGATTGCCTATAGCACAATAACAGAGGCAGGCATCTTAGTCCTAACAGATCTTCCTTTCTCTCCCAAGCTGGTAGACAGATACCGGCTCTTGCCAGACTGCTATCATCAACAGATTGAGTTGACAAGTTTGTAATGAAGGAAAACTTGGAGGGATGAAGTGTAAGGAGTGCCCTCATCATTTCTGATCTCTGGGCATATGGCTAGGAATAGGAGGAGAGAAAACATTGTGCCTACTGACATTTGCCAGTCCTACAATGAATTTTGAATGAAAAATACATTGTTCCCTTTTTTTGAGATGTCCGTTAATTCTCACCACTTTAATATAAAAAAAATTGTTTTTTCCCTTTCTACAATAAGCATGCCCTCATTATTAGAAGTATTAAATCGTTGAGAGACACTGAAGTCAGCTAAGTCCTTTTAGCTAAGTACAGGAACGGCGCTAACCAAACTGCTCTGGGTGAAGTTCATTACTTAATCAGCCACCTTCCAAAAGCAAAGTATCCTTTTCTAGTTTCTTATACATTATTTCCAACCTGTAGTTTTTGAGTGGTTTAACTTATCAACAAAGGCCTGATGATACTTTAGTGGAACTACTTCCTAGAAGAGAAGGCTGAGTTTAAGAAGAGAGTCCTTAAAGCACAGATCAACACTTTCTTGGCTAAATGTTCCGAGCACATTTGTGGAAGTGCAGAGCTGTCTACTTTGGG